GCAACGCATGGACAACGGCCTTCACTGCAGGAATACTTACAACGGCAACGCATGGACAACGGCTTCATTTTCAAAAATCGGGGAAAGATTAGGGACGATAACAATTGCTCAACTGGATGGAACACGGTAAGCTACTGAAAGTGAGAACCATGAAAATTCAAGGGGAGAATGGAAACATTCTGGGCCCAGCTGTGCTGGCGGCGGGCCTGGCGGGCGGCTGAGTCGGGAGGTGAGTCAGGACCCAGAGCCAGAGGCGATGTTCGCTCATTGAAATTATCCTTACTTATTTCCAAACTTAATTAGCGTGCATAACTGTCTATTCAAAATTACTTCAAACAAACCTGTGTGTCATCAGAAATGGCAGACGGAAGCCACTTTCTACCTGCTACAGGCTGAATGTCTGTGTCCTCAAAATTCCCATGCTGAAAAGTGCTCACTCCATGGTGCTGGTCTTTTTGTAAGGGACCCCAGAGAGCTCCCTACCCCTTCCACCATGCGAGGACACAGCAGGAAGCACCATCTGTGGGCCAGGAAGGGGCCCTCTGCAGACGCCGAACCTGCCACACCTCAACGGGACTTCCAGCCTCTGGAACTGTGAGCAGGAACCACCTAGGGTTGGAGCCCTCCCATCTGTGGCCCTTTGTCTCAGCCTCTGAATGGGCTGAGACCCCTTCTGTGTCTGCCACGCACACGGCCAGCCAGCCACACACCCCTCCTGCGGAGGCCCATGTGACTTCAGAACCCTCCCTGACCCAGCTTTCCACAGGGCCACTGATGACTCATCCATGAGAGCAGGGGCCAGCAGGCGGGGGCACCTGTGCGCGTGGCTGATGCCTGCAGGAAGCTTTCGGGCCTGGGCCTGGGGACTTGGTGGAGCACCCTGATCTGTGACTGCGGCCGAGGCCCACGCTCCCTGCCCCTGTGGGGGGAATTCGTCCAGTCATGAGAGGCTACTCACGGACCAAATATCTTCAGGTACTTGACGCCCATCTCAACGGCCTTGTGAGCACAGGCCATGGTGGTCTCATGGTCACGTGCCGCGTAGGCGAAGTGGGTCAGCCGCGTCAGGGTCTGCAGCTCCACCAGGGGGTCCGACCAGTTGCACTCAGAAGCCATTTTCACCACCTTCCGTTGGGCGGCAGAAGAAGGGGCACCGTGTGAGCAACAGCGACCTTCCCACCGCCTGCACTCCCCACGGTCACGTGGCACGTGATTCTAAAGGGAGGCGCGGCCTGTGGAGGCCACTGCATGCTGCCCACAAAAGCGGAGCTGCCACGTCCACACCTGTGAGGGCCCCTCATGTCCTGTGGCTCCCTGGCTACCCCTGACCTGCACTGAGTGGCTCAGGGTGGGGCAGGACACAAAGGGTCTGCTCAGACGGCGTGCGCCTCACCCCAGGAGGCAGGGGCGCTCCCAGCGTGAAGCTGAAGGAAGCATGTGGAGGGCGCAGCTCTGTCGGGAGGTGGGGGAGAGCAGGGTGAGCACACGCACTGGGACCTGAGTTCTGCCCACCATGGGCAACACCCTTGGAGCCTTGGGGTCCTCGCCCCTGGCCTCCCAGGAACCCTGGGGTCACCTACCTGGGCCAGGGAGGGGACGGTGAAGTCCATGAGGCCCAGCCCGTTGCATGAGTACATTTCCAAGGCAACAAGGACTCTGGTTATCGAGCTGACATCCTCACTGGTACCCTGGTGGGGAGGATGCCCTGAGTGTGTCAGCCCCAAGGGTGCAGGGGGAAGTCTGGAACACGTGTGAACACAACGCTGTGGGGGAGCGTCTGGAATATGCCTGAATTTAACACTGCAAGTTAGTTTAAGGGCTATAATCAGACCCTGAAATTGGGAGCGTTTATACCTGAGATTCTGTTTGTAACTGTTGACCTACACACCATCTTTTCAGACAAGAGCCCCAGGGCCGTGCAGCCCCATGCGTGAGGCAGCCTTGTTGGACGGTCAGGTGACCCCCGCGGAGGGAAGGAGCTGACATGGTGGCTGCCTGGGTAGGCAGGTTGACGCCTGGACCCTCCCTGCCTCCCTGGGCCCCACTCGACCCCTCGCTCCTGGCCAGGCTTCAAGGCCCCTCCTCCATCAGGCTTTCCAGGAGCTCATAGGACCTCACGGAGCCCGCTCATCCCTGGGAAAGGGCAGCACCCCCAGAGGCCCAGAAGCTCACAGACCCCATGGATGGGTGGGCAGAGGAAGCTCCCATCAGGGACTGCCAGGCCGCCCCGATGGCGCCATCTGGAGCTAAGTGGTCCCGGGAGCCCACCACCCCCGGCTGCCTTGGACATCTATGTCCCCAGGGCATTGGTCAGAGCCCGGATGCTGACAGGGTGCCCACCTGCTCCTCGGTGCCCAGCCGTGGCCCGATCTGCTGCTGCAGGAGCTGCTTGGCCTTGACCCAGGTGGCGAGGAGCTGCTGCCGGACGCGGGTGGGCACCGTCTCCTCCGGCGTGCTCCCGTTGGTCAGGTTCAGGGCGAACTCGCAGACCTGGGATGGACGCGTTCTTAGTCACGACGCCTAAATTCTCAACAGGGGACCCTGAGCCAAGATCCAAACCACTAAAAGACAGACAGCCCCAGCTCCTGGTCCAGCCCGTGGAGGGCCCACAGCACCTCAGGCTCAGGCCCTCCAGGGGCTGCACGGCAAACCCAGCAGATGAAGACCCAACCCCGGGCGCCGAGGACGCGACTGCACACACAGGAAGGCAGCCGCCACCTGGCCTCCAGCGCACCCCAGCCTCTGGTTAGGACAGAGGAGCTGTCCGGCTCCCCTCCCACACTGCGCCTGGTATCGGTTGGGGGTGGGGCAGCAAGGATGGAGCCCCAAAATCGGGGACGTGAAATCTGCCATGTGCTTTGCCCACAGTGAAGGGCATGTGGGCTGCTGCTCTGAGCCTCTGGGTTGCGCCCCAGGTCCCTGCCTTGCTGGCCATGTGACCAGGCAAGATTCTTCATGCTGTGCCTCAGTTTCCCCACCTCTACGTAGAAACAAAACCCAGTAATATGTCGTCGTGAGGATCAGCGAGTCCCTGTTCCGAGCCTCACCCAGTGCAGAAAGCACAGGCCACCAGGAGCTGCCACTGGCAGACCCAGGGACGTCCCGTCTCTCACTTTCTCTTCCCCAGTAAAGCATAACGCAAACACCTGCTCCTTGCAAAATGTCTCTGTAGCTCAGACAGCTGCTGGGCAGCGTCCTTCCTTCTGGATAAACTTCCAAACATGTGTCAGATTCCACAAAAACATCCTGTCGGAATGTTTGGGGAGCCCTGACTCCCCTCTTCGCCACCTGGCTCCTGGTGGGGCTGTGCAGATGCCTGGCCCAGAAGCTACCCTAGCCGGCTTCCTGTGCCTCTTCCTCGCACTCTGCCATTCACTCCATGCTCCCGGAGTCAATTGCCAGCTCAGTGCCAGGGCTTCCTCTAAGCATCTGGATCCGGCCAACATCACATCCGCGGGGAAGTTCCTCTGCACCCACCAGCTGCCTCCTGGGGCCGCAGCAGGTTCAGCCGCACAGACAGCTGCCCAAGCTGTCCACAGCACCCTCCCTTCTGCAGCCTCCAGCCTGACACCTGCAGGCCCCTGGGGCCGGCCCCTTGTCCCTTCTCAGAACCTCACCTAATGCCCAGCTGGTGCTCCAGGCTAGCCCACACTGACTGCCCGGTGCCAGCCGTCCCCTCTGGGAGCCGGCAGCACCAGGGCCCTCTCCACTCTGGCTCTGGCCTGGCATAGCTGACTGTGAGCGCTGACCGTGAGCACTGACCATGAGCGCCGTGCCGCAGGCTCGACTCTCTGGCCCATGGTTTTATCCATGGTCCAGAAAGGGTCACACAGGATGAGCTTTGGCACGAAGTCTTCCAGCAAGGGCGGGGACAGACCCCCTGTGCCCCGCCGGGGACGCTCAAGGCCTCCCTGTCCTGGTCCCACTGTGGGTGCTCCACACTCAGGCGACGTGAGGTTCCCGACAGACCCCCTTGGCTCATTAGGAAACGGGCTTTCTCCTGGTTTCAAGCAGCTCTTCTGAGTTAGAAATGAGCAATGGGTCAGCAAGCACTTCAGCATCCGGCAGCGAGGACACTGTTTTCTTCCTTCCTTCGGGATTACAACAAAATCCAAATTCCATGGGAGAAATGGCCCACTGCGCCGCCAGCACCGCTCCACGCGGGTCTGCTGCATCTTACTGGGGTGGCTACAGGGACGTGTGGGGGCTCGGTCCGTTTCTTGCTGTTCCAATCCGCCATTTCTCCTTCTATTTCTACTGTCCTCTCCACCTGGAGGAGGCCCCATGCCCACCCACGCGTCTTGCTTTGCTCTCTCCAGCCCTCACCTTATTTCCCAGCAGTGGGGGCCCCTCATGTTTTACTTCCTAAATTGTTCTCATATCTGTTGCCGCTACTGAGGGAAGTTTGCTCTCCTAGGGTCTTTCCAGAAGCCTTCAGAAGCTCGACCCCAGCCTCCCGATCTGCAGGGCTGCCTCTTGGGTCAGCTGCAACCCATACACACACACACACACACACACCCCTCTCTCCCCCACTCCTCTCTTTCCCCCTCCCCCTTCCCCCCCTTCCCCCCCCCAGCATCATGGAGGTGGTACCTCCACCGCTGTTTTGATCTCGGAGATGGCTCCTGCGTCCAGTGGGCTGTGAAAGGCATTTGTTCGCACCAATTTCCTGGACTTCTCAGCGGCCAGGGGTGGAATCCAGCTGATGATCAGGCCTCGTGCCAGCGTGTTGCAGAGCGTCACCAGCATCACAGGGTCCCTGGGAGACATGCTCATCAGAGGGAACCATGGCCCCTGCAGGCCACACCTGGTGCTAGGCATGGAGTCCTCAGGCAGCAGGAGGACTGAGGTGCACGGTGCCCATGACCCTCCTCTGCTGAGACGCAGAGAGCCACGGAGCACAGCTGTTTTGGGGTGTCCCGAGGGAAGGGGCCAGTTGTGGGAAGAAGCCTCTCCTCACGGGCACGCAGTGCAGCCGACCCACACGCACCCGCTGTGGCCTGTGGCCTTGACGATGCTCAGGAGGTGGTGCAGGGCGTCCACCAGCTCCCTCTGCCGCCCGGCCAGGATCAGGTGGCGGCTGTGGTTCAGGACGTAGACCACAGCATTCTGCACGATCCACGCCTCCTGGAGTTCCTGTCCAATCTCTGCAGAACGCAGCCAGTTATTCATGGCATACTGGGACAGGCTCTCAATCCAGGTTCTGCAAAACGTGCATCAGCAAGCCCTTAGCGTGGGGTCCCCGGCCCCAGGGCCAGGGAGCAGGACTGCTGCGGGGTCTGCGAGGAACTGGGCCGTGTGGCAGGAAGCGGGCAGGGGCAGGTGAGTGACCAAGGCTTCATCCGTATTTACAGGCGCCCCCATCGCTGGCACTCCTTCCCGTCCCATCAGCGGCCACTTTCGAGTGTCCGAGGAACTCGAACCCTACTGTGACCTGCACATTTGAGGGATGCATGTTTCCTGCTCCTTGTGAGAATCAGACAAAGGCCTGATGATCTGAAGTGGAACAGTTTCATCCCGAAAACAGCCTCCACCCAGACAGTCCATGGAAAAATTGTCTCCCACAAAACCAGTCCCAAAATGGTTGGGGACGGCTGCCTGAGTGTGAAACAAAGCCTTTCCCCACCCGCCCTCCCAAAAGAGCGCACGGACTCTTCCTGTGAGCCTCTCCTGTTTCCAGTAGTCTATGGAGCGCTGGCCTCAGAAAGGGGCTCCTGTGGGGACTGCATGGGTCAGAAGCAGGCTGCCTCACCACCCCACCCCTCAGCACCCCCAGCCTCCCAGAGCCTCCACCTGAAGCACCGTGGCCCAGCCCGGTGCTCCCCGTTCCCAGCGGCCCCCTCGTTCCAGTGTGTCCTCATCCTTCCCGGATGCCTCCAATGGCCCCTGGCTGGTTCCCATGGCCACAAGTGTTCACCCCCGCCAAGGCACCCCCGCTCCCCTCAAACCTCCCGGCCCCCGCCCGAGGCTGCATCCAGCCACGCTGCTGCTGCGCCGTGCCTCCTGGCCTCTCTCCACACTGCACCGCACTGCCCTCCCTCCTGGCCAAGGGAACGTCGCCCACAGGCTGCCCCTCCTCAGGGAGCCACCACGCCGAGGGCAGGGCGGTCAGTCCTCACCCAGCAGTGTGCACGTGGACAGCGTCTGTCTGCCCCACTAGACCAGGTTGCGTACACTTTTCAAGCATTTTGGGTTTTGCAAGCTCCATCTAATCTTCGCTGCCTATTTGACAAACTTAAATGTGTCAAAGCCGCCCTCAGCTCATGGGCTGTAAACAACCTGAGCTCTAAATTTCAGAGCCCCTCTCTCTGTGAACAGGCCTACAACGAGTGCAGAGCTCTGCTCAGCTTTGGGCCTGGACCTGGAGAGGCATCTGGAACCCCGGAGCCCGGGGCAGGCCTGGGCTGGGCGGCTCCTCACAGAGCCTGGAGCTGCTGCAGGAGGGAGGATCCCAAGAGGTCAAGGCCAAGGACACCTGCAGCCATCACCGTCAGTGCTGCTGCCTGACCTCCTCTCCCTCCACAGGGCTCGGCTGGGTGGGCGCAGGCATGCGTGGCAAGCACAGAGAGCTGGCTTTCCTTCTGCCCCGTGACCAGCGAGGATGGGGTGCCGTGCCCAGCTTCCGCTGCGTGGGTAGTCAGGACACCCATGCTTACCAGGTTACTGTGCTTGACGCGGCTGCATCGGAGGGACAAGTTCCCACGCCCTACAGCACGGCAGGTGACCACAGTTTACAGGGGTGCTGGAGGGGGGCACGGAACGTTCCCAACACAGAGAAAGAACGCAAGTCCGGGGTGACAGATTCACTAATGACCCAGATCTGATCTCCACACGCTACACGGATGGAAACGTCACCCCAGAAGTTGTACAATTACTGTCAATGTAAAAACTAGTTTAAAACCTTTAATTTCAGATTAAAAACAGGTAAAACCCATCACTGTCAGTAAAGCACTCCCATTTCATGATTGTTTCTTAACTTGGAACCTCATGTAGGCAAGTCCTATGAGATATCCTATCCAAACTTTTCTTACTGATGCACAAGGAGTTTTTGAGGCTCTTCCCACAATAGGAGGGAGAGTATGGCTTTTCCTCTGAGCAAATGCAGAAGCTGCTCCTTCTGTTTTCCACCATGAATACCACCTCCCCGTGAAAGCAGCTGACTCTCACACATCTTGAGAGAACTGATGAGAGTGAGCAGGGCTGACACTGGAGTGCCCTGGGACAGGCGCCCGTGAACTCTCACTCACAGTAATAACACACCACGCCTGGGGTCTCACTGGGGAACACTGCTAAGAACAGGTGAGGTCATCTGTTCCTACATTACTCCATTTCCTCACCCCATTTCCACTTTCACGGTCTTGGTCATTTACGGGACGATGGACACCTTCCCCACGCGAGAAAGCTGTGTCCTCAGGAATGCAAAGGGTGTCCCTCCCCACACCAGCCTCAGCGCGGAGGACACTCTGACCCGTGTCCCGGGCAGTGCTCCAGGCTGCGGCCGCTGCCCACCTGTATGTGATCCACTCAGCATTCGCCTCCGGGGGTTCAGGCACGTAGCCGGCCGGGTGCTGGCTCAGGTCTTCGGGAGGGATGGCCCGGTCATTCAGCTCTACACCTTCTGACCGCAGCAAATGGACAGTGGCCTGCAGAAGACGCGTGCACTGGGAAAGACTGTGGTCGGAGCACCAGCCCAGCACCAGACGGGGAACACACGCACTCTTCCCTTAGCTCTGATTTGCAAAGTGCCAAGCACGGCCAGGGAAACCCAGCTGGTGTGCCCTTTGCAAGCTGGGCCTGCCTGACAGCCAGTCCAGGGACTAAAGCCAGTCCCTCGTAGACTCTCTCCACCATCACAGTGGGGGTGGGGAAGAGAAGCCTCCTTCCAGAGCACCACACACCCCAAAGGAGTGAAGGAGCTGCAATGGCTTCCGGGCGTCAGCAGACCCTGGCCAGCACCCGCACCTCCCCTGCATCATCACGTTTTACGTGCTGCAGGGCCAGGGGCTGCACTGGCCCCTGGAGTGTGGCTGAACACCCCCCACAGCCCCATGGCCTCCACTGGCTCTGGTTCTGCCATCTGGGCTCTGGCTCCCTGAGCAGCGGGGTCTGTGCCGCTTCCCTCTGTGACCCCAGCTGAGGGCGTGGGCCTGGCCCTTGGGAGCCACTCAGTAGATGTACTGAATAAATCAGCAGGTGTGCTGGCCTCCGAGGCTGAGTGCCACGTACCCACTCAGTAAATCCACAGAAACCTCACCTAGAGTGGCTATGAAAACTCTGAAGTCACACAATGTCACAAAGGTCACACATGTTGGCATTGCACAGTGGCTGCAAGCTCAGACCCAAGGTCCCAGGGTCGGGTTTGGATCCAGCTCCGCCGTTCCTACCTGCTGATTTTGGGCAGGGCGAGCCAGGGGGGTTCTCTGTGCCTGCATGGGAGGAAGAGGCCTGGCGGACCCACGGCAGGGGCCCTGGACATCACACCCCGTTCAAAGTGCTTCTGCAGCGAACGCCAAGGCGTCATCCCTCAGCGGAGTGGCAGTCGCCATGTCTCACCCACAACTGCAGATTCACCACTCAGAAATGATTCCCAAGAGAAATTTACACCCATGCACATTTTGGTTTCTATTTTTCTCCTAGAAAATCTTCCAAGAATCCAGGAAGTTTTCCCTCCCTCATGTTCATTTTGTTTGAAGCGCAGAAGGTTCTATGATGATAAACATCTGCAGTGGATTAGCAGGCTGTGTGGACACCAGCACCAGCCCTGCAGCGGGCTGCACGGATGCGAGAAAGCAACGTTCTGAGCCGTGCTGCGGGGACGCACCTCAAAACTGATGCGCCCCTCCAAGATGCACTTCAGCACTCATGAACCCCTCCTGCCACACCTCAGCGCTGATGAACCCCCCTCCATCACCCATCAGCGCTGATGAACCCCCCTCCATCACCCACCTCAGCGCTGATGAACCACCCCACATCTCGGCACTGATGAACCCCCCTCCGTCACCCATCTCAGCACTGATGAACCCCCCACACATCTCAGCGCTGATGAACCCCCTTCCGTCACCAATCTCGGCGCTGATGAACCCCCCTCTGTGACGCACCTCAGCGTTGATGAACCCCACCTCCGCGAACTTCCGCAGCAGGTCAGGAGACACCTGCCTCTGCAGGACGACCTCAGGCTGGCTCCCAGCGTCATGCACTGAGCCGTCCCCACCTCGCTTCTTCCTCCCTGAGAGAAACGGCAGCAGGTAAGGATCATGGTTTTCTTCCAGCAAATAAAACACAAGAATGCCTGGTCCACCTTGGAGTGCCTAAGCCTCTTCGCAGTTGCACGCAGAGCCACCCAGCTGGGCAGGCGGGCCGTAAGTGGGCACCTTGCCCAGGGCAGGGCCAGAAGAGCTCTCTGTGCGGGCAGAGCTGGCTGCCAAGTTGGGTCCCAGCCAGGGCTTGCTCTTGGCCACACCCCTGCAGACGCTCTTGGCACCTTTGGCTCTCCAAGCACCTCCTGCATCCCCGACGCCTGCAGGACTCCCAGGCCTCCGTGCCCATTCTGTCACCTCCCTCCCTCATCTCTTTGGGTCCTGACTGTCCCTGAGACGGGAGCTTCTCCAGGGCTGGGTGCTGACTGTGAGGAGCCTGCCCCACCCACGCTCTACTCCACGCTGGGCCTGTGGCTGCTGCCCTCTGCCCTTGGGCGCCCCGCATGGGCATCTGCTCACTGCTGTGGCTGCCCCTGCCTGAGCCTCTGAGGCCTCTAGTGACAAGTTGGAACGTACCGACGGTGCTCGTGGCATGGCTGATACAGCCAGATGTGGCTGCCACCCATGATTGGCGGCCCTGATTAGTGGGAACTGTGACTATTGTAACACGGCAATGCCCCATCTCACGTGAAGGCCCCATGTGTCAAAACCGCACGAACCACAGCCCTTCCTGCACACAGAGGGCGGCTGCAGCCAGGCCGGGACACACACATAAGGGGCGTACGAACCTCTCCGCAGCCTCAGCTTCTTCACCTTGACGTTGTCATACAGGAGGCAGAAGCGGCTCGCCGTCCGACAGACGTCCCACACACCCTGCTTCCGTGCCACTTTGGCTAGCTCTGCCCAGATCTGTATCCTGCTCACCGAGGACCCAGAGAGGGAAAAGTGAGTAGACAGATGCGGCAGCTAAACTAGAAGAACCAGGGCTGGCTGCCTGAGAAAAAGCCACCGAGGCTCTGCAGTCTACAGCTGGCAAAAGGAGCCTGGCGTGCACGCTGGGGATGGCCTGGCGGGGGCATGTCCTGCGGTGGGCACAGCTCTCCACCTCCCACCAGCCAGCTGCGTGCGGCACCTCCATCCCTGTGGCGAGAAGAAAGGCCACCCAATCCACTCCCTGGGGGTGCATGGGGCAGGCCTCCCTGGGGTGGTAGCGACTGCAGGGCTGGTACCAAAAATCAGCCTGCTCTGGTCACCGGCACTGCGTGCCCTCCAAGTGACAGAAGGGACAGGGCGTCTGCGCACCTCACAGGCCGTGGCCATCATCACAGGCTGGGAGGTCCCATATGTCAGGACCCCTAGGCCGGGACCACCTCCCACCATCCTGGAAGAGGTGGCCTCGTGTGTCCTCAGGTGGCCACATGTGGGGTCAGTTCGGCCACCACAGACACTGGCTCTCTGGCTGAGTGACCTCCGGGCTGGGCTGTGCGTGGCTCTGATTCCCCACTGACCTCTCCTGCTCTGACCTCCCCCCCACTCGCCTCTCCCGCCCTGAACTCCCCCCCA